GTCCTTGGTTGGAGTATGTCTCTGGGAAGTTTCCTGTGTTCAAATTTTCTTGTTCTGTTGCTCTCCTTGTGGAGTTCCTGTCCTCTCCAGCTCTTACTATTTCCCACTTCTTACATAAAATTCCATTCACTCTGCTCGTCAGTTGGCCATCAGGCTCAGCATCTGCTTTCACAGTCTGCATGGCAGAGGCTTTCAGAGGCCCTCTGTGGCACCATTTTTAAACATCAGCAGCTCTGACTGAGTGTTCGCTATAGGCGGCTATAGGGCCTTCTTTATTCTCATTCCATTCATTTGGAAAGTGTATCCACTTTACACATAACATCTTAGCTCACTGAACATAAAACATTTATATATATTTATATACATATATATATGCTGAAAATACACATATATATGTATATATACATATATGTGTATATAGCATATACGGAAGCACTCGTTTTCCTCTTTGTTTCTTAGGCATTTATTGTAATACTAGTACAGATGGCTGGAAGGGAGAATATACTCATAAAGAAGAGAGCAGTACTACAAACAGTTCAGAACAATCCAATATTGCTGGCAAGCTATTTGATATGGTGTCTTTAGAAACTTCACAAACTTAAAGTAATAATGTAGATGGCATCGGAGTCAAATTTTAACTCTTTAAATTATGTGATGTCTAAGATTTTCCCTAAGTTTAAACTTTAAAAAGTCTTTGCAATGTTTGGAAAAAAAAGCATGAATACTGCATATAATACAGTACATAAGATAGCTGTTGACTCATACACATAAGACAGTGGAATGTAAAAATGATTTGAGCTAATTGTAGTGTCACAGGTCTTTAATATTTGAAGGAGGATCTCTGTGAGTTCAAGTCCAGCCTGGTCTGCATAGCAAGCCAAAACAACATAGTGAGACCCTGTCTCAAAAAATTATCTTTTTTTTCTATTTAATTTAAATTTTATTTAAAATGAAGACAATTTAATCATCATATAATGTCATATATTTTAACACTTAAAAATAAACATAAAATCTATTTTTATAACAAACTAGGCATGCATTAGCATTTTTCTCTTATAGTCTAGAAATGAACTTTTTTCTTTTTTTTAATTTTTATTTAATTTTATTTTTTCTTATCAGTTACATTTTATTAACTCTGTATCCCAGCCGTGTCCCGCTCCCTCATTCCTTCCTAATCCCACCCTCCCTCCCTCATCTCCACAGTGCCCCTTGCCAAGTCCACTGATTGGGGAGGACCTCCTCCCCATTCATCTGATCCTGTTTTATCAGTTATCTTCAGGACTGGCTGCGAAGCCCTTCTCTGTGGCCTAAGAGGACTGCTCCTCCCTTAGGGGGTAGGGAGGTCAAAGAGCCAGTCATTGAGTTCCTGTTAGAAATAGTTCTTGTTCCTCTCACTATGAGAAACCAATTGTTTACTGAGCTACCACAGGTTACATCTGAGCAGAGGTTCTAGCTATGGCAATTGTGTCTTCATATTATTAATCTAATATGAGAGAACCCAGGATTCAAAGCTATGTTTGTTTCACTTTTGCCTAAATTTTCTTTTTTTAATTAAATTTATTTTTTATATTAATTACAGTTTATTCACTTTGTATCCCAGCTGTAGCCCTCTCCCAGGGTCAGATGGAAGGGGAGGAGGACCTCCTCTATCAGTGGACTTGGAAAGGGGCATGGGAGGAGATGAGAGAGAGAGGGTGGGATTGGGAGGTGGCTTAGGATTCCAAAAATTATCTTAAAGTAGAAATGTCACTAAAATATCTCAAAATTAATGCTAGTCGGGTGACTTTATCTGTTCACAGAGGATATATACTGTGTGTGGATTTTGTTTTGTGAAATGCAATGATTTTTATCTGATTGCCAAGAATATCAGATACCTAGAGGCCTGAAGGTATGGTTTGAATTATATAAATACATTCATACATAAGACATGACTATCTAGGGTTGCTTTTATAAACCATGTTTGGGAATATAAACTGCCGATCAAGAGCAGATACTGACTCTGTCCTACAGGGGCAGCAGACACTAGTAGAAGGCAGCATCTTTGCAAAGCAAGCTGGACACAGAGAACAAGCACAGAGAGGCGATATGTCATCTTCAGATGCCTAGGTTACACTCAGTGAGTCCATCTGGCAGAGGTCAGCATGTTAGGAGGAAGATGTGCCAGGCTACGGTGTGGCATTGAGAGGAGGGCTGGTTTAATACAAAGGAGCTCGAAGCCCAGATGAGACGGGACACCAAGACTGAAGGCACGAGGGTCCACGCCACCTAGTTCAGGAAAGAAATGGGACGAGCCAGCCATAAACTCATAGACACATGACATGTCTGAGCCTCACACTGGTGCTGTTGCAGGAAACAAACCAACTATTTGTTCCTGCTTTCCAGTTGAAAAGACTTCCATGTTAAAGAACAGGATTAGATCGTAGTAGAGATGGAGAAAGACAGCAGAGAGCTGTGGATGTCTGCAGATGTGTTTTTTTTTTTCACAGCAGGGGCAAGGACAGCACCATTAAACCACTTTGTAAGCAAGTCTTAACCTTTAGATATCAAAAATCAATAAGACATAAATACTTCTGCCGTGTCAGTCTGATGCTAGAGATAGCAAATATACAATAAACTATATCAGCAATGATTAATATGAAAATCCATAAAAAATAACAGGAAATCTTCAGCAAGGAAAGACGGCCCAATTGCAGTTGACCCTCCCCCCAAATTCTAGAGCTTCAAATCAGCTGAGTATGAAAAATAAGAAATACAGGAAACACGTGATGTTGTCAGCAACCCCCAGAAGTATGGTTTTCTTCAGAAAACAGACAAATTAAAATTACTTAGGAAAACTCTAGTCATGTTAATTTTGGCTTGTTCTCAAATTTCAAAGCCTTGGTAATTTCCATTCTTATATTAAAATTGAAAATCATCATGTGAAACTGAGGCAGAACTCCACAGTCATGCGGCAGAGTAAAAGACAGACAGTGAGCATCAGAGACAGACTAGGGAAGGAGGTGGACAACTGGAGAGAAGGAACGTTACAGCTAACCTCCCGTATAAGCCAGGGAGCTTTTGAAGTGGTATGTGTATATGAATCTCCTTTCACAGTATACATTTACAAAATCTAAAATATTCTACTATTTGCCTTGTGGATGAGGAAACCAAGGCACAAGAGGACACATAGGTAAGTCAGCAGCCTATTTAATATACCTGAACACTGTGACTCAGTTTACACCTCTGTAATAGCCAGAGGGTTTCACCTAGAACTTCTGCTTGCAGAGAACAGAGCAAATTCTGAGAATCATGCAGAACTGAGGCAGAACTCCACAGTTCAGTTGAAGACTGTTAAAGACAGACAGTGAGCGTCCGAGACAGACTGGGGGAGCCAGCAGAGTGAACAGCGGGCGATGGCTGGATCAACTTGTGGGCTACAGAAACAGCAAAGAAGTCAACTTCCAAATGATGGTGGTAAGAAGAGGGAGCAAGAGACAGAGGCAGCATCAGTGGAAAAGCAAGGTGCTGCCATGGGTGGAGCTACAGTTTGATGCAGACTCAGGGTGCATATTACCCTTGTGGATGCAGGAGCTGCAGGGGAGCTTGACAAAGGAGAGTGAGCAGGGCGAGGTGGAGGAGAGACAGCTTCCCGACCCCGGTGATGCTGGCCCACCCCTCTCCAGGCTGGTGCCCTTCTTAAGAAGATCACTGGCGGAGGAGTAGGTGCTGGGGTGTGGAGTAGAGAAAGAATGAGAAGGAGGATGGGGGCAGGAGTACGAGTACTTGTGTTCAAATCCCTAACCCCGATGTCTAAAAAGACAGGCATGGTTGCACCGAGCAGGGGAGTTGGGGGAGGATATCTCATTGGCTAGCCAGTCTAGCTCAAAGGTTCCAGTTCAGGTCAGTGAGACCTTATTTCAAGGCAGCGAGGCAGAGAGCCATTGAGAAGACACCCAGTCTCCTCCTCTAGTCTCTACACGCATAAGCACATCCACCTAACACTCACATACATACAACACACACACACTCACACCACACACGTCACATAATACAAACACACACACACACACACACACACACATTCATGCCACGCTATACATGCCACACACACACATCACAGAGCATTTGCTTGCACAAAATTGGTAAGTCCCCCGGGCAAGGATTTTAATGATTTTTGTTGAATTTGAGAAACCCAGCACACTGTAAAACAGTCAAAACTGTTTTTGTCAGTCAGACTGACAAAACGCAGCACACTGTCAAGCATGTGGTGAGGCTCAGGCACCATCGACATTCCACCGGTTCAACGACAGACACCCCCATTATTAACAGCCTAACAGCCGGGCTTCACCTTAAGAAGCTGAAGGATGGAAGGGGAACCAGCAAGGAGAGGAAACAAATGAAAGAATGGAGCGTGTTGGAACTGGTGATTAGCCACGCCAGCCTAATCGGGTCAGAGGACTCCCTCAGACAGAATAAGGTATTCTAGTCAGAGGCTCATTAGAATTTAGAATGCTTAATTTCCCCCTTAGCTGTAAGTGGCTAGGAAAGCAGAAATAACACAGAGCCCAATAAAACAGAACGCTCCTTCACTCTCATTTTTAAAATTGCTAGAGTTTAAAATATTTAATATATTTTTATAAAAAAAATAAAATTTGTTGTGTAAGATAAGATTAACACAAGGTGCTTAAAAATCGATCAGACTTTTATGACAAAAATTAGATAGATTTAGAAACTCTGGCTCAGTTCTTCAAGCCAAATGTAGAAAAGAAGAATTGCTTCGGGAAACATGAGAATTATTTCTTAGTGACTCTTACCGCTCATCTGTTTAAAGCCTGTCCTCTGAGGCCTACTTGGGAGTAACTCTGAATAATTGTGGATTTCAGAGCAGCTACAGTGGTGATTAATCAATTCACCTATCTATTACCTAGCTTTCAAATGACTGTAATGACATAAATAAGCAACATTGGGCGTGGAATTCAGGGTTAGTGATTCTAAGCAGCAACAAAGAGCGAACTGCTTACCATACGGGACTTCCAGGGGGTGCCCTGTCCTGTGACACCACCTGATGGGGTGAATGTCAGGGCTCTCGGCATCTGTCCAGTAGTCGTACTTATGGTCCCAGCCATCAAAGTGGATCTGTTGAAAAGCATTTCGAGGAATTACTATTTTGCGATTACAATATCACTATTCCTTCGCTGAAATATTTGAAAACCCACTTCTGACGCTGAAATTGAAGTGGCACCGAGCACACCTAGCCACCGAAGCGATATTTTAAATGCGCTATCAGACAACTTCCTACCAAAGGCAAGAAAGGCTCCTGCAACAAAATCTTCAGGTAAATTAAATAGGCAGGAAAGTAAAAATTTTGTCAGAAATTGACTGAAAATGGGAGAAGTAATGCCAATGTGTGTCCTCAGTTAAGACAACGCTGGAATGATGAAAAAGGGACACTTCTTATCTTCAATGACTGTCCTGTAGCCATGACAAACACCATGTCACAGTCTCAGAAATGTCCTTCACTGGCTGACACCTTTACAAGCCTGATTCTGATGATAAGTGCATAAATCAAAACACAGAGAAGCAATCGATCCCTCAGTCCTCACAAACGAGCAGAGACTCCCAGTGTACACTTGGGGCAATCAGAGAAGGCAAATTGCCGGGGCCCGGGAAGGCACTCAGTGGTAGAGCACTTACTTAGCAAGAATAAGGCCTGAGTTTAGTTTGCAGGGCACACACACACACACAAACACACGTGTGTGCATGCACAGGTATTCCTGGATAGAAAGACTGTTGAAGGACAGGGTGCGGGAGCTCTTGTTGACAGGAAGAGACCAGAAACCCACTCGGCGTGCAAGCTTACTTATTATCATCTTGTAGTTTATTTATTAAACAGAGTCATCTGTTTGCACATTCATACACACATATGCACACAAACACACACATGTGCACACACATATGTATAAGAAATTAAAATTTCAACAACTTATGAAATAAAAATTAAATATTTCTTGGATATAAAAAACAATGTTATAAAGCATGTCTTCAGGATGATAAAGTGAATTTTGTATGAAGTAAAGCAACAAATAACTCCACTATTCTCTTATGTCTTTTCTTCCTTTTATTGGCAGCTAAATAGAGAATACACAATTTTTAATGCAAAACTGTCATTTATGCCAGGCGTTATGGTACACGCTTATTATCCATCTACCTTAGACACTAGGGTAGGAGGGGTGCAAGTTCAAGGCCAGCCTGGACAATTTAATGAGACTCTGCCTCACAATAAAACGTAAAAGGAGAGCCAGTGGTTATGACCCAGTGGTCCTATTATATAATGGCTTGGTGAATATTTGGCATGTGTGAGGCCCTAGGTCCTCAGTCCTGAAAAAAGAAACATTAACATGCTAGAGGTCTAGAATCACAAAGAAATCCACAGAAACATGAACTAGATCCTATACATGTGTGTGTATGTGTGTGTATGTGTGTGTGTGTGTGTGTGTGTGTATGTGTGTGTGCGTGTGTGTGTGTATGTATGTATGTACGTATGTATATAGAAGTCTCAATACTTTTTCTCAAGTGTCTTTTCTAAGCACATGCTTTTCAAAGTGTGGTCCTCAGGCCTATGACTCAGCACCAGCTGGGCATGTGTTAGACATGCAGATTCCTGGATCCCCCTCAACTCTCTGAACCAAAAACTCTGCTGCGAGGGACCTTGCTGTGTGGACAGTATTCTAGATGCTGCACGTTGATGCTGCGGCTTGAGAACCAATGACTGAGGAACAATTTTCAAGATATAATTCTGTGTGTGCTTAAGTGTGCACGTGTTCATCTGTGTGTATTCAAGATTTTGCTGATGGGCAAACGTGTTTATATGCATGTTCGCATAGGCATCCAAAGTCAATGTCCAGTGTTTTCTTCAGTTGCTCTCCATTTGCTTCATGAGACAGTCGCTCTTAATGATTCTGGAACTCACTCATTCTGCTAGACCAGCTAGCTAACAAGAGTCAGAGATCCTCCTAACTCCCCTCCCCAGTGCCGGGCTTTCAGGCACACACTTCTGGTCTTGGCTTTTATGGGGGTGTTGAGGATCAAACTCAGGTCCTCGTGATTCTATGGCAAGCAGTTTATCACCATGTCATCTCCCTACCAGACCTGAGCTTCCAGCCATTGCAGAATGCCCTTTCATGCAAAAACTACACATTTGGACAATGTGTACACCATTACAGGGGTGGCTGTGTTGTGTTGACTATTTAGTTATTTTGGGTTTCTGAGACAGGGTCTTGGTATACATAGGATGGCATTGAAATCTACATAGCCTAGTTGGGCTTGAACACCAAATCTCAGCCTTCCAAGTGCTGGGATTACAGGCATGCACTAGCACTACCACACATAGCCACACACACACACACACACACACACACACACACACACACACACTGGAATATCTAAGTAAAACAAGGCATTCTAAGTGAGCCTTTAATGTCTGCCTTATGGAATTTCCCTGCTTTCAATCCAAGTCAGACTATTATTAGGCACAATAGACATACAGTGAGGAGGACACACTGGCACCAGTCCAGAGTTGAACAAGCAGGGGGAAGTTTAAGGACACAATGAAGGAGAAGAAACAGCCACACAAATAAAAGTTTTCAGGGAATACCAACAAGATCTTGGTCAAAGATGAGACTACATACTTGTAGTTTGAGACGTCAAGAGGTCAGGCAAAGTCTGTGGCACACAGAAACATAAGAGACCACATGTTACTTTTGGTGCAGAGGCCAGTGGTGGATAGTCTTTAATCATATTTTCAGAATTTGACTGAGCCACTGAAGCCACAGTACTTGGAGAAAGAACTAAAATAAATGCTACTCTAGACTAACCCACATGAACAGGGTAAAGCCAAGAGCCAACACGTAAAAGACTCACAAAGAGCTAGCTGCCTGATAACACCTCCTTTAAAAAAATAATCCCATTGTTCACCCCAACACTCACAAAATCCAATATGCAATGCAATTATTAGATATGAGAGTAAGCAGCTGAACCTAAGCAATGATCAGCTTATAAAGAAGCATCCAGTAGATACAAACTGAGATGACCCAGACAAGAGCATTAAAGTTCCAGTTAAAATATTTTCAAGAAAAATACAGTCTTAATGACAGATGAAGTCTCAGCCTAGAAAGTAAAAAGAGAAAGCAGAAGAAAGTTCTAGAACTGGAATGCAAAGTCTTTGAGGTGAAAAAGTTACAAAATGAACAGCAGGTGAAAAGGGGCAGGAAAGAGGATAAGTGCCTATGAACAAAGGTTCACGGAAAGTACAATGTAAAGACAGATAGATACATAGTGGATACTGCCCTGAGGAGTTGACAGGTCTCATCAAATCGAAGCTGCGCAAGAGAAGGACTGAGAGAAGGAGCAATAGTCATGACAAAGCAAATGTGGAAGAACGGTAGGTTAAAACCTTTCTACTCAAGCTCAATCAATAAAAAGGAAATAAAAGTTATGAAAAGCATAGAAGGACAGGACAGTTGGCCAACTTTGTACCAGAAACAGTGAGCCAATGAAAGTGTTTGCCAACTCAGAATTTTGAACTCTACAACAATATCTTTCAGAAAATGAAAATGAAAAAAAAAAAACAATTAAAAAACAAAAGTAATCAACTACAGATGTTTTTGTTGTTGTTCAAAAATGTTAAATGAGACATTTTAGGCTGGGAGGGGATGATGGCAAGCAGAAATTTTCTGTTTTTAATTTAATTTAATTTTATTAATTACACTTTATTCATTTTGTATCTCCCCATAAGCCCCTCCCTCCTCCCGTCCCAGCCCCATCCTCCCTCCCCCTTCTTAATGCATGCCCCTCCCCAAGTCCACTGATAAGGGAGGTCCTCCTCTCCTTCTTTGAAATAATGAAGAGCAAAGGTGTGGCAGGATAGGCAAGGTCAACTCCTCATAGCATACAGTTTTATGAGGTCAGGTCAGTACACAGCAGGAGGAAGAAGGAGGAGGAAGAGGAAGAAGAACAAGAAGAACATCAAGAAGGAGAGGAGGGGAGGAGGAAGAGGAGGAGCGTCAACACTAACAGAAAATATATCTCATGAGGTTTCATGCACTGTGACAGACAACCTTGGCTTGTGGCAGGGAATGGCTTCCCTCAGCCCGACAAGGGGGATGTCCATAAGAAACCTACAACCAGTGCCTTATAACAAATCATTTTATGGTTCTCAGAAAAATCAGTATGAAGGTAAACTAAGAAATAAAATTGCATTATTCACACATGATTTTTTTTCCTGTAGAAAAGAAAAGATTGATAAAAGCATAGTAAGAATTTAGCCATAGTTCATATAAAGAACAATATAAAATAATTGTGTTCCTACATTCTGACAACAAACAACCGTAAAAAATAGTTAAAATCTATTTAGACTAGCTTTTTTTTTTTTTTGAAATGAAAAGCATAGGTATGGTGGTATAGAGCTATAGCTCTAAAATTCAGCAACTGAGACAGGAGGATTGAGAGTTACAGATCAGCCTGAACTAAACTGCAAGACCCTGTATGCCATGCCCCCCATCGCCCAAAGGAACTCTTAGCAAAGCATGTAGGAACAAAGCAAAAAGTGAAAGACACCCCCCCCATGCCATAAAAATATTGCTAAGGCAAACTCAATATGACTCACATCCACAGAGAGCATAGCCATGCCCAGAAGACTACAAAACTCAGTAGTTTTGTAGATGTTGTTTCTCTCATAATGCTCTATAAATTTAGTAAAACTCCCTGAAAGTAAAAGGCCAGAACTTGGGAAGCTGAGGCAGCAGAATGGTGACTTTCAGGTCAGCCTGCCAAACAAAATCCCAACATTATTCTGCTCAGGGAAACCCAACCACACCCCACTACACACCATTCAAATGATTTAAACAGGTGACCCCAGTCACCTGTAAGGCTGGTGATCTCCCATGAGCCAGAACACAGAGGTCAAGATGGATATACAAGCCAGGCCAAGCAACCTCAGGACTGTGCCCTGAGGAGTCCGACCTATGAAGCTTATCTACTGTACAAAATTGTGACTGAAAAATAACACAGTTGTCAAAGTGTCTTTGACCACAGATACAATGCTTTCATATTCTCTATTCAACATTTTCTTTAATTCA